TGAGTCACTTCCTCTTCCATTAGTCCATTCCCTGTGCTGTGTCTGTGCCCCCTGAACATCAGAGGAACCTAGCCCTGTCACTTTCAATGATGAGGGAAAGTTGACTGCAGCCCAAAGCAACAGGCCCTCAGAGACATGCTCCCCAGCAAGAGGGAGACAGAGAGAGGACTTAGAGGCAGAGGGAGAGATGGGGAGTGACAAAAGGAGGGGTGCATGCAAAGACAAAGGGCAAAGAAAAACAGGAAAAACAGGAACATGATTGTTGTAAGATATGTAGCGTTTAAAAAGTGATAGCTAAACAACAGATTTATCAAACGCAGAATGTGGCACATACATGAGAGATGTGCCAACTTACCAAGCCAACTTCTGTTTAAGTAGACGGAGACAAACACAGGAGGGACGGTGAAGAAGTCGACGACTGAGTTGACCTCCAACCAGAACCACAGCTTGTCATTGGCTGCTATAAACTGTCAGAAAAAATAACACGAAAGCACTCAACATGACAACTAGGTTTTAATTTTGCAGGAAACGCCATCACAGCTCACCACTCAAACTGCAGTGCCTTTCTGTGACAATGCTGACTTACTTCATAAAACAACAAAAGCTTGCTGAGTCATGCAAAGGGATGGTGGTGTAAGCAGCTTATGAGTTTATTTATTCATTCATTCAGGATGTCAAGCTTGTATTTGCACCACTGGCATGACAGCCATGCCCACCACATCATTACAACAGTGTCCGTTTAAACTACAGGCATCCTGTGTCAGCATTCACAGATGACCTAGGTGACTGTTTGAGAGCATTTACAATTGTTCTGTAATAAAGATGTTTTTCAAAGGATCTGAAATGTTTGTTGGATTTTTTCAAATATGTTAAAGAAAAAAATTGAAATACAAAATCCATTTGCATCTCCTTATCTTTAATACAGGGTCTAGAAGTATGTTCGTCATATTTAAGTATGACAGAATATTTGCTTGCATGCTGATGTGAGTGTGCAGGCACATGTGCCAGCTTACCCGCAGGCCAAAGTAAAGAAGGAAGAAGACATTGAACGCCATATCGATCTGTAATGTGAAATCTTTGTAGAAGTGCTGGCAGGATTCTATAGGACTGGAAAACAGGGACAGAGAATGGGGAAAGAACATCATTACAAGGTTAAATGCTCTGGCTGAGTGTCAAGCAGTTTTTTTTTCTTTTTTAAAAGCCACGTATGAGAAAATCAATGTGAGAATGTGTTTTAAAAATACAACATTTAATGTTATCTAGATATTTCAGTCCAAATAAGCTTGAACTGTGTAGAATATCATTAACTGTACTGGACAGATATGTTCCATACTATACAGCTGACGTTTCTACTTTAGGTCACTTTGCAGTTTTTGTATCATGAAGTCAGAAAAAAGAGTTTGGTAAGACTCTGATCCGTGATGATATTACAAGCTGTCACCTGTCTTTGGAAACTGAGAAGAGATAAGCTTGAAGAGATCATTGTCAAAAATGAAATATTTCAAATCCCTAAGTGGACAGAATCTGAAAGAATATGCTAAAAATATAGAACAAAAATGGATTTATAAACAATACAGAAACTAAACTACATTATTCTGTAACAAAAAAGCATTCAATGTCAACTAGCATTTGCTCCACTGAGCCATTAGGGGTCATGGAACCAGATAAAAGACTTTTAGCAGGAGAACCATAACCATGCAGATGAAACAGCTGAAAATGAACTGAAGTTCATAGCTGCTTTGATGTGACATAAATGAATTATTCAGTATCTGTCAAAACCAAATCTTCCAGCAGATATTTCTTCGTTTAAAGAGACTGTATAGAGACTGCAACAGTGTTGTGTTTAAAAGAGGCTGAACATGATAAATCAGTTGGGCTCTGGCTGGTCTGTCATATAATCAATCTTCATATTTACACTGTGATCATTAACCATAAGGAAGTGAGTGTCCTCAACAAAAGCTATAATGCGTAATGCACCCACCCCATTCTTCACTTGATCATGAGCCCATGGCATTTTTGCTCTTGAGGTATGAGGATATCCCAGTGTGAGGGAAGCATGAATATGCATTTTGCATTTGGCTGGCTATACGCAACCTTTGGGAATGCGCTGACTGGCAAGGGAACACGCACTGGGCGATTACAAGAGTAAATAGTTACAAGTCCCATATGTTAAAATAATATGCGATTATACATTCATTCGCGAGGAGCCCAAAGGGGTACAATTTGAGATTAGGAAGTTGGTTTATAGCATGATGGCAATGTCCAGAGGGAGAGAAAGCCATGGCTTCATCATCTTTCAGTTAACATCTCATTTTATGGCATGATGCATCATTATAATGGTTGACTGCATAAGAAGAAGACAAAATCCTTGAAGACAATGATACAACTAATTCATGATTCTGTGGCCTTTCTTGGGCATATCCTAAGGACTGATGTGATCTTAAAGATGATATAAAAGTCTGGCAGTGCCATGAATTTAGAAGGAGTTAGGGCTCTTCATCAATTCTTTTTAAAATCCTTCATTATGTAAAATGGTATTTTCTCATGATGTCCAACCAGGGTTTGGACAGACGTAGTCGCTTTTCACACTTGGTTTAACGATTCATTTGGATGGCCACTGGAAGCATATCTGTGATTCAGTCAGTATAGACATAACCCAGTAATGAATCATGTTTAGCCTTGGTGACCTGAGTATTAAAGTAGGTTTTTCTTTTTTTTTCAAATATACTAACCAGCAAGTTCAAACAGACCTCCATCATGTTTCCTTCCTCTATATCCTTACCTAATGCCTACAGACCTTTGTGTAAGTAAAATTTTCTACATACACACACAAACAAAAAATACATGTATGCACATATGGCCATAAATAGTCATATCTACACACATGCACAGATGGTGCATACTGAAGACACAATTTGGAGTGGTCACTGTGGCATTTCCCCTCAGGCTCAGCTCTGGCCTAATTCTGAATAACGCTCATAGTCAGTCACATGACCCGAAGCATTCTTGGTAACACAGAGAGAGCCTGGCGACACACAGCAGGGCCTGTATGGTTCACTGAATTGATTTTGATTTAGCTTCATAAGACAACACAATGGATACACTCAGAGCTTGATTTTGGGAACTGACTTATGACTGTTACAGTAGATACACATGCAGTATGATCCCTGTAAAAGACACGGACAACCTGTATTTTTTACTTTAAAAACATTTCACTTCCGCGCAACTACTGTATAAATGTTTCTGAAAAAAGCTTTAAAATTATTGTTGATAGCTTGAAACCTTCCTTTCTGAAGGGACTTGTATTGAAATCCCTTATCCTTCAGTTCAATAGCTGTTTTGAAACACTTTCTAAACTGCTTTTATGTACTGCAAGTGTTGCCAATTTCTGCCAATTTCCCATTTGTGTCCTTTGAAGCTTTAATTCTAAAGCTTGTTTAGCACTTTCGGTTTTCCTTGAAGACAATTCTTATGAGCAGTGTTTGATACTAAACTCACCATTAACTAAATAACAAGGCAGACAAATTGAGCAGAGATATGGTTCCTCAAAACCCTAAAAAATATACAATGACTTCCCATGTCTCACGGTATCTATAAATTCAGAGCTCCAAACCCAATTTCATGTAGAAAAATGAAATGGCAATGTAAGCAGAGAAAAACAGAGAAACCGATCATTTATTTTATGTTTACATTATCATTTAAATGTAATCCTATCTAAACAAAAGAAGCAAGTGTCACGATAAATGAAGAAGAATACTTCATTAAACATGATCTCAAATGCAATAAATCAAATATCCATTGAGGAAATGTTTTCAAGGAACACATCTCTGACTTTGGTCTAAAGTGGTAGTATTGAATAAAATAGGTCACCTACTTCATTTCGAGCAACAATGACAGTACTTGACACAAAGTTTTTGATAAGTGTGTTTCTTTGCTCCAGTGTAGCCATAACATATTTGAATGAAATATGACATGAGTAATATTTGCACTTCCAATGCGGAATGACTCATTTATATTTGGAGATATCTTGGGTCACAGATGTCATTTCTGCTAGTGGGAAAAGGTATTACCCACCTTAATCTAATTAATCTTTTCTGACACACCAGCAAAAATCTAAACCATGCTAGAATTCCTGCAGCAGGGCAAGTTTTCTTACCATTTCTTTTTCTTTTTTTTTTTTTGTGGGCTACATACTACTAAATAAGTTTCCTATATAAGGACATTCATGGTTAAGTAAGGTTTTAGCATTCAACGTAGTTTCTCAAACAGACTTCAATAAGATGTGTGCCTTTCTAATGGCTGCAATCTGAGCTTTACCCATTAGAAGCTCCTTGAAATTAAAGGAACAATTCAAATTCATAATTCCAAATCATTATAGGGGAGAGTGGGGTAAGATGAGCCATTTTTTACTTATGTTGTTCTGGACGTAAGGAAAAATGACACAGAAATAGAATGAAAACATATTATTTTATTTTAGGATGTCTCCTATCAAATGAAATTATCAGAATGCATCTCTGACAAAGCTGCCCAAAATAATGACTTATCAAAAAAAAGTGCTCCTGTGGCTCAACTTGCCCCAGGTTAGGGGTAAGTTGAACCAAGTAAGTGGGTAAATTGAGCCATCTTGGGGTAAACTGACCCTCTAGGTTTTAAAATGTAAACATGAGCATATTGTGCTAACAAACAGTTTTAAAAGTTTTGAACTTCTGAGAACAAACCACCAGTTAGTTTCAAAACCATTTAATCAAAAGAACTGTTCAATATTCCAACTGTCAAGGTTGCAGAGGAACATGAACTGTTGCTCCTTCCTTGCAGTTCCTCCAACCTTTTGAGGTTGAGGTAGTTTCTTCAGCACATCACTCCGTGGGAAAGATTCCTCATCGTTTTCCTTGAATGCAAAGGTGGGTTTCTTACTGCCAGTGATCCCTCGGATTCTTTTCAGAAATCTGGCACTCACTTCGTTGCCTGCAAGGCTGTCAACCAAGCCAATGTAATGGTGGCTTCTGCATTTGGATGCAAATTTTACGATGAAAAAGTCACCAACTACCAGATCTGAGACATATGGTTCACTTCTTTCATCGCTGGAACTCTCGTGTTCAGAAGTGTCTTCAAATGGGATGGCAACATCACTCTCCTCAGAGCTGATTTCTACTGCGATTTAAATTGGTCTATGCCAACCTACTGAGTTATGTTGTTTCTTGCACTTCCTACCGATTGCCAATTCTAATGACAGTTCCCGGCATTTCTTTGGTGTAAGGCCATGGAACTGGTCTGCGAGCTGCTTGATATGGTCTTCTAGCTCCTTCTCCATCTCCTCTGAAAATACTCTCCTTGCTTCTGCTGTTCCACTGTACCCTGCTGCTTTTACTTCCTTCACCTCCCTCTTCTTTATGAATCTCCTCAATATTGACCTGTCATTATTTCTCTCTTTTTTCACTGATCTGATGGACTTTCCAGCATTGACATCACTGGCTGCTCTTTCCAGCGCTTCAAGGGGTGTTGAGCCCCAGTTTGTTTTTCTCTTGTAGGTTCTTGGCATGATCCCTGTTCTACAATGGTAAACATTTGACAAACCAGTTGAGTATACTCAAAGAAATACTATTTTATACGTCTGAGAGTGCTTGCCTTGTGGTGGGGTAAGTTGAACCATTGGCTCAATTTACCCCATAGCCTTTGGCTCACTTTGCCCCATAGCCACCATTTTGGAAAAGATGGGCTAGCTTAGAAATTCAGGCTAATCTTTAGTGAAGTGATTCACATGATTTTATACGTAAGAATATCACCAACAAGTATAATATATAATTTTAGACCCAGATAAATTTGCTTTGATATAACAGTCATTTTACCTGATATGCTGTAAATTTACTTAAACAGGCAAAAAACAGTTTCTTGTGTAAAAAAGTACTTACCCCTTCTCCGATGTGCTTGTCTTTATCACAGCAAGATGGAAATGATTGGTGCTTCCTGAATTTATGGTCACATGACAAAACATGTGAACGGTTACCTAGTTAGAAGGGGTGGGTCAACTTACCCACTGGCTCATCTTACCCCACTCTCCCCTACTTCACGTTCAATAGAATTAAACTTTTTACAGAGTTAATTTCAATTTCCCTGACAGGTTAATGTGCCTTAGTTCTGTAAC